GTAAAATTTATAAGATACTGAAGCGGGGTCTCCCACAAAGCATGGGCTAAACAGCATGCTTCATGAGCTCAAAAGCATTAAAATATAGTACAAATAGATGCAACTTTAAAAATTCATAAAAGTCCAAATTTGAGCAGGGTCATTTCAAACCTTCTACACAATTACATACTTGCATCTTGCATGTATACATATCAGTAAAATATTATTAAAATAAGGAATTCTCTCCTTTTTTGATTTTTGGCCCAATTTTTTTTAAATTGTAAAAAAAATCCAAACTTGATTGGAATCAGTTCAAACTTTCTACACAGCATATGTATATGTATTATGAATCAGAAAAATTAGAAAAATTAAGAATTCTCTCCTTTTCAAATTTTGACAAAATTTGTGCCAAAATCCTTTTTTTGGAAAAAACATGGACTATAGCCTTGAGTATTTTTCAGATTTTTAGCATTTTTTTTAAATGGTCGTAACTTGAAAAATTGAAATTCGAATCAGCTTAAACTTCATACAGCATAAGTACATAAATGTGTATCAGAAAATGTAATAAAAACTGGGGGTCATTTCAGAGTCATTTTTTGAAAAAAAACATGGACTATAGTAGGCTTGGGTATTTTTTAGATTTTTGGCGTTTTCTTAAAGTAGCTGTAATTTGAAAAATTGAAGTCGGAATCACCTCAAACTTTCTAAACAGTATAAGTACATCAATATGTATCAGAAAATGCAATAAAAATGGAGAATTCTTTCCTTTTCAATTCTGGAAAAATTTGGTCTGATTTTTATCTTTGTTGATCCACAGTTAATTAAATACTTGGTTATTAATTGTCAGGTATTATTTTTAGGACACTGCAGAGGGTGAGGTACAGTACAGTGCTTTGCAGGTTGCTTGACCCAGTTTCTGCTCACGTGACATGTATTACTAGTACTAGTATGGTGAGAGTCATGTGATTAACGAGTTTAATTGCAGGGTCAAGCAACCTGCAAAGCACTGTATCTATGGCATCATAGATACTACATACACACATGGATATGAAACAGAAAGTCGGTATCCAATTAACTCTTTGAAGTTCACCTGTAAACGTCATAACCAGCATAGCTCTATCCTTGGCGCTTTTCTCTCTGTCTATGTTTTCAAGAATTTTCTTGACTCACTTATTTTTGTGAAAGAAGGTATATAGGTCTTTTTATTTGTTCAGTAGACCTAATAAATATATTCTCATTTCATTTTGTCAACAGGCCTCATGTTTACATGACAAAATTAGAAGACCTCCATTTTTATTTGTAACCACCTTTTCTAGACTCTCGAACAGAGTTAGCTAGTAAGTCTTGGAATCATAATAGTGTATTGTTTGTTACATAGACTGAAACTATTCTCGTGTCAATGTAATGAGAAATGACTGAGATAATAGCCAAAAACTAGTTTTTTTAATATTAATTTTGTAACCACCTTTTTGAGACTTCTGCACCAGGTATGAACAAGTTACTACTTTGAGTGTATTCATTAAGGTCTCTTATATAGACTGTTTATGGTTTCATTAGGCCTGGGTTTCTCGAGTCGGGCCTGGGTTTCTCAAGTCGTGTCTCATAGATAGAGCTAGTGCTTTTCTCATGATAAATCTGGATTAGTTTGAGAGCGGTTCGACAGCTTAGACTATCAAAACCATGCCTCCTAAGAAGAAGGGGTCTAGTTCTAGTCAGACCAACAGTGGTGCTGGTTCAGGCTCAAAGAAACCCACCTGCCATGGGGCCAGCAAGAGCTCTGGATTTATCTGCCCCATTTGTGATGACGATATCATCGATGAAACCCAGCAATCTGTGATGTGTGATGGCCCCTGCGCCTCATGGTTACACAGAGGTTGTGCTGGTCTTTCACGAGTTGCATTCTCGAAACTTGAAGGCTCCGATAATCCATTTCTCTGTACTCGCTGTTGCTTAGAGGCTCAATCTATTGAGATCATATCACTTAAGGAGTCTTTGGCAGCTTTGTCCAGTCAATTGAACTCCTTACAACAAACCCTGTCCTCTCGTAGTCAACCAATTGAGGCTCTCTCCACTGAAATCATCCAAATCAAGAATAGATTAGAAGAAGCTCCTTCCTTCCCTCCCTCTATTCACATTTCCCATTCTTCGCCTACATCTGGGGTTGCTCCGCAAACTAATGTCCCTGGTACAGTTGGTAAGAAAGCCATCCCTTCTGTTACGGATCGCAAATATAACATTGTTGTCTTTGGTATTACTGATGAACCCTCTCAGGGTACTCCACGGGTAACACGAATCAACTCAGATATAGAGAGAGTTACTGAAGAACTAACTCAGTTGGCAACTACATCGGGATTTTCGTTTCAAGTACGTGACTGTCATCATCTGGGTCAGTATCGACCAAACTCGACTAAATCACGGCCTCTCCTGGTCACCTTGAGCTCAACTATTCAAGTCTCAAATATTCTCTCGAACTGCCATCACTTGTCTGGTGTTGTCTCTGTTCGCCCCGATTTATCTGCCTCAGAACGAAGAGAACGTGGGATCCTGATGAAGGAAAGATGGAAACTTGTTAATGCTGACATCGACAGGAGGCCCATCAAAGTGAAGGGATCAGGGCTATATGTGAGTGGTAATTTAACAGGGAAAGTGTTAAATGGGGTGTTCCAAGTGACACAGGGCCTAGGTGCTAAAGCACCTCAGCTTTATTCTATTTTGAACAACCAGAATCAGTCTATTTCAGTTAACTCCAACAGTACCTCTGACCAGTCAGATATAATACCGTAGGGCACCTTTTTTTCGAGGGCTATGAATTTCGTGGATTTTTATTTCGCGGATTTAATTTTCGCGAATTTATGCCGTCTGCCATCTTGTACCGTATTGATTTGATTTTCGCGAAAGTAATTTTCGCGAATCTTTAAAAAAATCGCAAAATCCGCGAAATTTATAGCCCTCGAAAAAAAGGCGCCCTACGGTACAACAGAACAGCCAAGACCGGGATGCCTCTGTATCCCGGTCTTTGCTTCCTCAATCTGGCACCGGTGGTACGTTACTTCAGAACAGCCAAGACCAGGGCGCCTCTGTGGCTCGCAGGGGCGTAGCTGGACCTTAGGTGACGGTAGGGCAAGGAGACAAAATGGCGCGCGAAGCGCGCCGCGATTTTGGTCACACCCCTTTTACGTAACAAAAATGGAGGCATTTTCCTG